TTCGTAATGTTTGGTTTCAGGCTGAAGGGTGTAACCTGCAGGACTGTCGAATAATAAAAATTTAAATCTTTTTCATTTACGACTTTGATTAAATTTTTTATATTTAAATCAAATAATAAACAACGAGGTTAATAATGACTTTGACAGACGTACTTGTTTCTGCACAGGATTATGAAGCACGAATCCAGAAGATTGACCAGCAGCTCGCCAGGGTTAAGGGTCTCAACGATCGTAACCAGTTGCTTTGTGAACGCAATTATAACGCCAAGTGCGAAAAGTGCATGCGTCTCACTATCGATTACTTCATCAAGGGCCAGTACGTTCCGAACTACATCGACTGTGTAACCCTGGCCAAGGAAGCCAAGGAATACGGCCGCTCTGTCTGGTACGCTAAGTATCAGCCTGAAGAAATCCTTAACGAAATCATCAATTACAACCTGTTGCCGGGATTCAGAAAGCAGGCACCGGTCAACTATTCCGGCGCAAAGCAGATGAAGAAAACACTTAAGCAGGCACAGGTCAACCATAACGTGGCTCCTAACGTAGTGGTAACCATCGGCAAGCAGATTATTCCCGGCGTCAACTCTAAACTCCGCTGGAACGGTAACTGGGACCAGGATGCCGAGCTCTTGTTCAACAACAGCGAATATATCGAGCTTGAAAAGCGCTATGGTTTCCCGCGTAGCAAGTTCTGGCAGCTGGCCGAAGAACGCGGCCTGAATACCCGTCTGCACGAACCGGTTACTATCAAGAAGTCGCAGAAGATTTTCTACGCCAGCCATCCTGACCTGTTTATGATGCTCGTGAACGGACAGCATACAGCTCTAGTGAACAACTTCTTCGCGAACGGTTCCGGTATGGAACAGTGGGTAAAGCGCTGGCTGGGTGGCTATTATAGCTGGAACGGCTTTAACCAGCCGCTTACTAAGCACGGTAACTTTACCGAACTGACCATCAGCATGAAGAAGGGTGAATACACTCTCGTGAATCTCTAGTCTGAAAAATTCTAGTCTGGTTTAGTTTACAACTTCCAGTTAATTTTCTATCTTTAATAAAAACGAGGTATGAATATGATTAACAAGAACTTGGTAAACTTTAACGAACACGGTTACAATGTTAAGCTGGAAGATCACTCCTGGTCTAATTATCCGATGATGTTCTACGGTTATCTCCATGAAATATCGTTGTCTTTCTTCAAGAATTACAGGATTCATCCCGTTCTCAATAACTTCCGTTGTAGTGTCGGTTATAAAGATGGTGTTACAGATAACACAACCACTTTTAGGGGACTGGTCTGTGGTCAATCATATTATAAGCAGGTCCTGACAATCGGAAATGTATCTTTGGACCTTCGCTATTACAATCCCGAACAGGTTATTAAGTTTATTGAGGAGAAGCTGGGAATTTAATTTCTAACTTTTTCTATTTACAACTTAATTCAATTTTACTATATTTGATATGTACAATATGTACATCAAACATTAAACGAGGTTATAATATATGATGTTTCCCGAAACTTTCAAGCTCGAATGTAACAAAAACTACGGTACTAAGAATGAAATCTGGAAGATGTTGAGTCCTGACCAGTACAAAGACGGATGTACTAAGGGTTGGCAGAATCATCATCGTCCGATTACTATCTTCCGTCAGAAGAATCATAAGTTGGTCTTCATCGAAAAGAAGAACATCAACAACGAAGGAAAGAACATGATTGACTTCGATGCTGGTCTTTGGACTTCTTCGAACCTCGGTGTGGGTAAGCGTTATTCTAACAAATCGTTCATCAGCTTCTTGTTTGTTGTTGAAGATGACGATACTTGTGTCTTCAAGGGTGTTTGGAAACACGAAGCTCACGAAGATGTCGAAATCGAAAAGAGACTTTACACAGACTACCAAAGAACAATCTTTGTGAACAAGTAAGTCTGTTAAGTTCAAGGAAAGACCGGAATAAAAATTCCGGTCTTTTTCTATTTACATTTTTAATTAAAAATTCTATATTTACGATGTAATCGAATGAATGATTACAATAATTATTTCGAGGCTAATATGAAGATTCACGAATTGTTCAAGAACATTAACAATACCGCATTGAAGGGTAACGGTATTGACGATATGAGTACTTATTTCGAAGACATTCATTACAAAGATTTTGTTGTCTACTTTCACACGATGTACAACACAAGTAAGATGGACCATTGTTGTATTCATCGTCCGTGTTGTTATTACAAGGGTAAGACCGGTATGGTACAGTTGTTTGACTTGACTACCTGTACATATAAAGTGTTTAAGATTAACAAACACGAACTGACAGATGAACAGGTTAAGATGATTACTGATTCAGTCAATAAGAGTCTTAACTACTGGTTCAATTTGTATACAGTGGAAACACGTGACAATTTTCATAATGAATGTCCATGTCACTTGAATGACGGTCTGCTCGGTTGGAATAGAATCGACTACTACAAATAAGTCAGTTAAGTAAATGAGGGAAGAACGGAATAAAAATTCTGTTCTTTTCTTGTTTACAACTTCTTTCAATTTAACTATATTTAAATCGTAATCAAATGAATGACGAGGTTATATAATGATGTTGATCCCTATTGCGACTTTCCTGGTTGTAGTGATTCCCGTAATCATTACTCACTAGCCGGGTTTTATGAAGAATTTTTATTCTAAATTTTTTATTTACAACTTTTAAACTTTTTTCTAAATTTACAATGTAATCAAATGAATGATTACAAAAAATAAATCGAGGCTATTATGGCAAATACTTATGGCGTTAACGAAACAATTAAGAGCACAACGGGTTTCTATTTTGGTGATCCTTGTTATGTGATGTCGCAAGAAGATTATGATGAACTTCTTGACCAGAGGTATAAAGATGATGAGGATGGTCGAGTTGGTAAGTTCACTATAAATGGTCATGAAATGATCATCGATCACACTGCTTATGGTGATGGTCTTTATGGTGGATGGAATGAATCTTATGGTGTCGATGCTGGAATGTTGGGAGTCATTCCTCTTGAACTTGTTAAGAAGGATCCAACGAATATGGGTTGGGTTTGTGAAGAGGCAGGCGATGTTAATATGTCGACAAGAGAAGATGGAGTCTTTTCAGTTTATCTGAATGATGAACTTGTTGAAAGAGTTGAAACAGGTGACGGCGACGAAGATGAATGTGAAGATGGCGAATGGGATGAAGATGAAGATTAAATTCTAAATCTTTTTCATTTACAACCTCATTTTATTTTACTATATTTAGTTAAGATAAATGAGGTTGTTTATGAATTATCAATATAAAGTTTACACAAAAGACGAAAAGAACAAGTTGCACACTGCAATCGTTACGAAGAGTTATGACGAAGCCTGTAAGAAAGAGAAAGAACTGAATGAACAAGGGTTCGATACAATCTTCTGGCAATGTTGATAAATAAATTCTAAACCGAAGAACCTGAAGAAGAGGAGTAATTATGAAAGTATATGTCCTGACCCGTACCGATAACTTTGGTGAACCCCGTCGTATCATCGAAGGTGTATTTAGCTCGCGTGAAAAGGGCGAAGCTGAACGCCAGGCAATGTTGAAACGATACGATGCTCCCAGTAAGCTGTGCATTGACACTGAGCTCAGTGAACACGAAGTTGAATAGTTTCAACATCTATAGGGAAAGACTGGAATAAAAAATTCTAGTCTTTTTCTATTTACATTTTTAATCAAAAATTCTATATTTACAACGTAATCAAATGAATGATTACAATAAAAAATTCGAGGTAATAATGATTGATTTTGAAACTCTCCGTCGTTCTATTGAAACCGGTATCAACAAGTACACTAACTCTCCGTTCTCTTTTGAAATCGGTGGAAAAATGTTCTGGAACGATTTCACTACTCCTAAGACTCTGACTGTATTGACTGATTGTATCAGTTACACTTTTGCAGTTTTTTCGGATTGTGTTATCTGTTCTTATGTCCGTTTTGATGACCGTGACGAACCTCAACATGAATCTGGAATTTGGGACTTCGATGTCGAAAACGACAGTAACGAACTTGTCCAGACCATTCTGAATTACATCTTGGTTGACGACATGGACGATTCTGAAGCACGTCACGACTATGAAGATGAAGAATTCTCTGAAGGTTGTTATGGTCGACATGACCAGTGGGAATACGATTATCAACATAAACTGTTGGTTAAGTAACAACCACAAAAACAGGGAAAGACCGGAAATAAAATTCCGGTCTTTTTCTATTTACACTTTTAATAAAAAATTCTATATTTACAATGTAATCGAATGAATGATTACAATAATTAGTTCGAGGCATCTATGAAGAAAATTAACAACATCGCTGATAACAAGTTTAACTTCAAGACTTATACACAGTTTGCTGTAGTAGAAACATGTCGTGATGCAGACAATATCAACATCTTTTCTAAAGTTAGTGAATTCACTACTTATAAAGAAGCAAAGACTTATGTTAAAAAACAAGTAGAAAAAACATTAAAAGAATACCGTAATTCATGGAAAGATATTAACACTGACGAAGATGCAGAATTCATTGAAGCTAATCAACCTGAAGCTTATGAAGTCAATGATAACTGTTGGTATGTAATTGGCGCAACAAGTTATAACACAGTATATCAAATCATTGAAACGCCGTGTTTTTCTACTACTGATATTAACTGGTAAAACACAGTTTAGGAAAGACCGGAAATAAAATTCCGGTTTTTTTCTATTTACAACTTAGTAATATTTTTCTATATTTAATGATGTGAGTGAAAGAGCTCAAGTTAAACAATCAATCGAGGTTAATTATGAAGAGTGTTACCGTTGCCCAGTTTGCCGCTTCCCTGATGAATGCTATCGCACTCCATCCGGAACTTGGTAGTCAGGAACTTAATGTTGAGCTTGAAGCCGGTGAAGAATATGCACCGATTGCAGGTGTTGAAACCAGTTACATGTTCAAGATGAACAAGGACGGTTCCTTTACCCGTACCGATAGATTATCCATCAAGCTCGGGTAAACCGATAGCCTGGAGGAGTTCATCTGGAACAACAGCCAGGAACTCTTCCTGTTCTACATCGGTGAGGTTCTTAAAGTCATGGCGTGCAAGACCAAGGAATACTCTATCTTTCATGAGGTTCTTGGTAATAACCTTTAATTCGTCATCTGTGACCTGAAGGACTTCCACCTCGTTTCTGTTCTTTGCGACTGATTCCATTTCCTTGAATGTGTAGAGCGTCACGAGCTGCATTAACCACGCCGGGTCCAGTTCGGCGAAAAAGTCCCATACGAAATCTGGAAGGATTTCTGGCCAAGGTGACTCACAGATTAAATCGAACTGTTCCTTCATCATATCGGGATGGATAAGTGAATGGTTAATCTTGAGCGCTGCCTGTTCTTCTTTAGACAATTTCTTACGCGGGCCAGCTCCTGTGTTATAGTGCATACCCTGGTTACGTCTAACACGGAATGCTCTCTTACGTAAACGGGAGATAGCTTTCTGCTTGGCCTTACGTTTGATGGCAGCTTTCTTCTGTCCACGCTTACGGTTAATCTTTTCCATAGCAGTGATAAAGACTTCCTTTGGCTGGCCAGTCTTCTTGTCGATTTGAACACGATACTTACCCTTACGGGTTGTAGTCCATTTCCATGTTCTCTTGCCATTACGTACGACAAACTTCTTGACAAGCTTTTCGTCAAGTTGCTGAGCTTCAGTCGGGTTTTCAAGATAGTTTTCATTCTGTTGGGTATAGTCTGCGAAGTTCATTTCTTATTCCTCTGGTCTACCGACTTCAAGTCCGAGCTGTTCTGCCTTATGCTTACTCTTTTCGATTCGTTTCTGAATCTGACCCATCTTTGAGTTCCTTTTTCTCTGAGCGACTTTCTGAGCACGTTTCCTGGCCATGATTTCTTTTCCTGACATCTTGACTTCGTTACCGTCCTTCATCTTATATCCTGGTTTAGTGGCGACATAAACGGTTTCTTTTTTTCCGTCACGGACTCTAACGACTTTTTCCTTCTCAGTGATGAGTTCGTCAAGAGAAAATGGATCAAGGTGTTCATCTAAATATTCTTCAAGTGTCTGCATACGATATTTATAATTAGATTTTTGTTTACGGTTTTAGATTAAATTTCTATAGTATAAGTATAATCAAAGAGGTCAGATATGAATGAATTCATTGAAAAGTTTTTGAAAGAACACTCCAACTGGGACTTTCTCACCTACAAGTTCAACCCGAACGGACTCTGGACCAATGACGACGGAACTCCTGGTGGATGTCACCAACTCTTCGGGAACTATACTACGACCGGTTACAATACCATTAACTTCGAACGTTACTGTGAATCCGAAGCGCAGTGTATTGAAGAGATTACGAAGATAAATTTCTAATCTTTTCCTGTTTACAAATGTTAAATAAATATCTATATTTAAATCAAACCATGGAGATTAAACTATGAGTCGTTCTTATCGCAAGTCCTTCCGTACCACTGTCTGCTGTTACAAGACTGAATCCATCAAGAGTTGGAAGGATGGTTACAACCGTAGCCTTCGCCGTACTACCAAGCATCTGATTAACAAGCTCGACTTGAACAATATCGAAGAAGACGAAACTTACTTCCCGTCCGATCCCGAAACCGATATCAAGGGCGGTAATCTCTGGGACTGTGGTGACGGTTTTGACTTCTATCCCAATGCTCGTAAGGCTGCTGACATCCGCGGTGAAAAGCCCTGGCATACTATGTGTAAGTAAACTTTAAAAGAGGTATCTAATGAAAGTTATCAACTACAAAACTAAGGCGTCGTTTCTTAATAATGTGTCGGTTGACATTAGAAATCGTGAAACGGGTGTATATAACATCGACTGGTGGGACGGTTTTCAAATGGAACCAGGTTTCATCGGTGAATGTTTTACAGAGTATGCCGATGCTGAAAAAGCAGTATTAGATAACCTCAATAAGATGTACTTACTTCATGAAGGGGAATACGAAGACGTCAGAATTGTATCGCATGATGGAATTTATATCCTTCAGGCGTTTGAATCAAAAGAAAAACACGAGAAATGGCATGATGATTTCGAGTGGGATGAGTACGGTTCGACCTGGTTCGATATTGAAGGATTTATCATCACTAAAGAACGACGTCGTGTATTAGACTAATAAATAATACATGACACAGGACGAATTCAAAGAGTTTCTTGAAGCCCAGAAGGAGGCCATCGAGGTAGCCAAATGGTACCTCGGTGAAAAACTCGGTAGAGACCCCGGGCAGGAATTCGTCCAGCAGTGGATTAAGGAACACGCCAAGGAATTCAGGGAAAATTGGCCAAGTTATTCAGCAGTGTACAGGGCAAACCCCAAGAAATAAAAAAGATTGACCTCGAAAAAAGGGAAGACCGGGAGTAAAATTCCGGTCTTTTCCTATTTACCATTCGCGATTAAATTACTATCTTTAAATGAGAGGTTGGTAATGTATTATATAATGTTTTATTCTAAAAACCCATATAATAATGAATGGGACCCCATGTCCTCATTTTGGAGAGAGTATCAACTTGGCTCTGATGTTTACGTTAATTTTAATCGACGCGATGAACTTATGGCGCACAGTATGCGATTTAACTATTATGTGTACGTCTACTGTCAACCGGAAGTAGAACAGAAGGTTGTTATTTTCCAAAACAAGCCGTCAAACGTAGTTAAAGAATGGTTTATTCCAAAGCAAACCGATGAGACGAAATTTTTTGAAATGGTAAAAGACAATATTTTGCCAATGGTTGAGTACTATAAGACGATGAACTCGGTAGAAGAACTGGAATAAAAATCTATTTCTTTTCTTGTTTACAACTATCAAATAAAATTCTATATTTAAAACGTAAGTTAACAAAGAGGTTGAATATGAAAAAGTTTATCGTTGAATACACTCCGAAGAACCGTAACGGTGAACGAATCTTTGGTGAAACAGAACGCGTCTGGGTACACGCCGATAGCAAAGAAGACGCCATCAGTCAGGTTGAAAGTGAATACTGGAACATTTACGAAATCGACCGTGCTTACGAAGCAAAATTTTAAATAGATTTTTGGTTTACGGTTTGAGTATAAAATTCTATATTTAAATCGTAAACAATAAGAGTTTATCCTATATCACGAAGCGAAGTGGCGATATATCTCCAACCCGTGATATTAACCAACTGGGAGACGAATCGCCCAGACGAGCCAGTTGGGAAGGAAAAGTTTAATTCTTTCTGGTCTATGAGACTGAAGTTGTCGAAGCGGCTCTGCCGGCCGTTCACTTGGGCGCAAGTCCTGCCTCCGCCTTTGAGCGTTTGGTATAGTGATGTTGACGGAAAGACTTAAAACTCTCAATCCTGATGACCGGAGTTAAAAGTGGAGTTTCAGGCGTTGGCTTTTTCGGATTTTCGGCATACGAGGGAAGTTGCCAAAACAATCCCGAGAGAAAATAGAATGAGTACGAAGTACAAGGAAAGTTCTATAAGTATCTTGTTATGCTTGTCTATCGTAATTGGTAACGAGCCGGGGTGATTAAACCGGTGCGATCTTGGTTCGACTCCAAGGGCAAGCACTAATAAAAGTTTGACCTCGAGAAACAAGGGAATGTGCATGGAAAGGCACTGCTAGATCAGGTAAAAGCCCTGCGCCCTTTCACGAATTTGACCTCGATAAATAACCCTATATCTTTACCGTATGGTTGGCAAGTTTGCGTGCGGGCTAGTACTCTGCGTTGATACCACTGCTTGACCCAACGATTGCCAAAGGAAGGGTTTCGATTTTGACCTCGAAAAAAGAAAGGTCGGGAGTAGTTTCTCTCGGCCTTTTCTTATATTTAAAACTCAATTTAAAGACTCATATTTGAGTTTTGGACTAGTTTTATATTTGACTTGATAAATTATATATCTAATTAAAAACTAGTCTTAAAAGTCAAATATAAGAGTCGTTTCAGCGGAACCAAGTCAAATAAAAACTAGAAAATAACTATTTACAACTCTTGATTAAATTTCTATATTATAATAAGAAACGAGGTAATATATGATTTTTAATTCTTTACAACAAGATTTGTTTGATATGTCTCCGATGCACGAATTCAAGCTGCAGTACAGAGACCGCCAGGGTGTAATCCAGTCCGTGACCACTTGTACGAGAGGTTGGACCAGGGAGAAGGCCAAGACCAGTATCAGTACTCTGCGTTGATACCACTGCTT